CCCACCTCCTCCTCAGCACCCCATTGACATTGTATCACTAAAACCCTGGATTTTGGGAACAGGAATCCTACCTTTTGAGCATCTCCTGTGAAGTAGGCAATGGTCAGGGTGGGGAGGATCATGAACAGTGCATTGTAATAGAGCAGACCATATTTTCCCAGCTCCTGGAAATAGGTAATATCCGTGTGTTTAAGTTGGATCCAAACAGGAAGATAAAATCTTACCCATATTGCTACAGAGAATGGGCCTTGTGAGCTAAACCCATGGGGGATTCTCCAAGACAGAGGAGCTGGAGGGTGGGATATATACATATACAGATAAATGGCTGTATATATATAGATCATGGAATCCCAGACTGGTTTGGATTGAAAAGGACCTTAAAGCTCATCCCACCCCTGCCATGGGCAGGGACACCTTCCACCAGCTCAGGTTGCTCCAAGCCCCGTCCAACCTGGCCTGTAACACTTCCAGGGATGGAGCTGCCACAGCTGCTCTGAACAACCTGTGCCAGTGCCTCAGCACCTGCACAGGGAGGAATTCCTTCCCAATATCCCATCTGTTCCTGCCCTCTGGCAGTGGGAAGCCATTCCCTGTGTCCTGTCCCTCCAGGCCCTCGTCCCAAGTCCTCTTGCAGCTCTCTTGGAGCCTCTTTAGGCACTGGAAGGGGCTCTAAGGTCTCTCTGGAGTTGAGTCTTCTTCAAGCTGGACACTCCCAGCTCTCAGATCCAATACATACACACATATATGTACGTTTATACAATTTAAACATAGATGTATAAATAGAACTGACTCAGGTAAGGAGCTCACACAGGCTCTAAGGTCACCATCAATCCAAACACTGTTTCTCTGCTGTCACAAGGAACACAGCTGTGACCGACACGGGGACACGGCTCCAATGCTCATGGGAGCTGCTCTACCACTACTGCCAAACCTTCTGGACAGCAGATTGTGGCAGAAGCATGGCCAAGCCTCACCCCTGTGCCCTCACAGATGTCAGTTAGTGGCAAACCAAGTGCAAAGCTGAAATTCCCAGAAAGGTGGTAATCCTACCTTTGAATCCAGCTTCTGTTTGACATAGGCACCATTTGCAGCTGTTAAGGCATCGTTAATAAGGATAAAAATATATCCTTCCAGATCAAATGCCAAGTCAGCACTGGGAAAGGGAAAAACCAGAAGTTAAGGCTCTGAGCTGTGCAGAGACAACACTTGGAAGATTCCTTCCATCTTCTGTCCAGCCAATAAATTGTCTAGAGAAGTTAATCACGGGAGGAGGGGCTGGGATTTGGGTCTGGAAAACATTCTTTCCTACTAGAGAGCACGTCTGAGGGGGGAGAAAACTCAGTGTTTAATCTGTCTTCTTGGGACACACTATGGTACTTGATTCCCCTCAGCCTGGAGCTTTTGGAGACATGAGAGAAGGGACAGCAAAGTGGGAGCTCACCTGGCAGCTACGAACGCACCGATGATCATAGCAAATACTGTCATCTGAATGCTCCAGGAAAACTTCTTCCTGGAAAACACAGGTGCAGTTCAGTCCTCAGGGAACTACTCTGAGAGCTTTGGGGCAGGGAGAAGCCTTTCCCCTCAGCACACAGGGAAGGGGAGGAAGATGACTCCAAGCAAACCCCAAGCAAAGCAACCCCAGTAAAAGATGTTTGAAAGACAATTATCTCTGTGATTTAAGCGATAAATAACTTGGCATCAATGAGAGTTTGAGAGCAGCAACTCTGCCTGGCAAAGAGAAAGGCTCAGCTGGGCACAGAGCCAGTTCCCAGCCCATCCCCAAGGAGCCAGCCATGGGAAGGGGCTGTTGGCACACAGTCAGAGCAGTTTGGGGGTCCAGGACTGGCACAACAAACATCCTCCACATGCACAATGGTGCTGCACAACCAGGCTGCTGCAAGCAGAGACAGAGCACATCCATGTGCCCTGCCTGGCAGCTCCCTCCAGGCACACTGCTGCTCCCTGTATCCACTTCCTCCACCCATTCTCGCTCCCAAACCCCAGCGCAGAGCCAAAACCCCTGGCCACACAGCTCCACAGCACTCTGCATATCATCCCAGCACCTCCTGACTTTTGTCAGCCAGATCTGTCACTGGGAAAAGGGGCTGGAAAGACTCACTTGAGTAAGAATCCTTCGGCAAACATCGTAAACAGGATGGAAAACCTTCTCAGGACGGTGAACATGGGCAGGCTGTAAGAAGAAGGGACAGCAGGGTGAAAGGCTGTTCCCACTCCACACTGCCAGAATGCAGCTGAGGCCACTCCAGAGCAGGCAGCAGGATATAGGCTCTAGAGAACAGCGCATGGGCAAGCCTGCTGCCAAAGTTCCTTAAGTAAATGGCATTACACCCAAACCCCAAAAGCTGTCACTTACAGCACACCCTGTCAGGATTAAGGGCCCCAGAGATACCCCCAGACCCTCACCCACAGTGGATAGGAGCCAGACCTGTGTCCCTTCCTGCCCACTGGCTGCAGGAAGCATTTGGGAACACCCTATCGGGGTTGAGACCTTAGGAACACCCCCAGACCCCCAGCCTCCACGGGTGAGGATCAGACCTGTGTCCCTCCCTGCTTGCTGGCCGCAGGAAGCATTTGAGAACACCCTGTCAGGGTGGGGACCCCAGGGACACCCCCAGACCCTCAGACTCCATGGGCCAGGGCCAAACTTGTGTCTGTCCCTACTCACTGGCTGAAGAAGCATTAGGGAACATTCTGTCAGGGTTAAGGACCCCAGGGACACCCCCAGACCCTCACCCACAGTGGGTGAGGGCCAGAGCCACAACCCTTCCTGCCTGCTGGCCTGAGAAGCATTTGGGAACACCCTACCGGGGTAGGAGACGCTGGGAATACTCCCAGACCCTCAGCCTCCATGGGTGAGGGCCAGATCCATGTCCCTCCCTGCATTTGGGAAAACCTTGTCAGGGTGGGGACCCCAGGGACACTCCCAGACCCTCACCCATGGTGGATGATGGCCAGACCTGTGTCCCTTCCTGCTTGCAGGAAGCATTTGGGAACATGCACGTGGCACATTTCAGCATGGGCAGAGAAGGAAGTGCATTGCCCCAAGCGCCTCCTGCCTGGGTCACCCACAGTCCTGCACACCCTGACAGCTCAGCAGCAGCTCCCCCAAGCACTGGGACCCCCCAAGGACCCCGTTGTACCCCCCCAAAACAGGAAACCCATCCATACTTCAGTTTCTTTGTGCTGAACAGTCCTGTGATCTGGTTCCCAAAATACAGAAGAGGTAGAGGAAATGTCTAGAAATAAGAGGGATAATGCGGTGTGAGCGACTGGAGGAAGCCAAGAGCTCCCCAGAGCACCCTCAGTGGATAAAAATAGAGCTGAAATTATTCCCAACCCGCCATAGAAACGTTCACACACACACACACACACACACA